GGGAAATGGGAGGCTGGGAGGAGGCGGAAACTTTTTTTTCTTATTCTCAATAAAAAAATATTAAAAAAAGAAGTACAATGGAAATAAAAATAATCTCTCAAACTGAAAAATAAATAAATACATATATATTTGAAGAAATCTATACAATTGTTTCTCAGTGCAAACAGATAAATAGAAATAAAAATGAGGAGGGACATAGAGAAAACATTGAGCGCAACCTGCAAACTCAATTTCCTAGATTCACTGAGAAGCAGAGGTATCTAAACAGAAAGCAAATAGCCAGTTCTTTTAATCATAAAGTTTATTATATACTCGGACACAGAGAAACCTTTCAAATGCCATATTCTTTAGGTCTCTGAAGTGTTGAAGATTATCTATCTAACTGAACTATATCTCTCTATATCTATAAAAACTAAATAATGTTACTCAGATTTTGAGTATTATTGATGACTATCTATTAATCTATATTTCTTAACTATACATGACATTAAATGATCTGCAAAGACAATACCTTTACCAGGAGCAGAAATACATATACGAAAATCAACCTTAAATATTTATCAGTAAACTAAGTTCCAATCCAATGCAAAGTGTTCATGATATCCCACTTTAAATAAAGATCAACATATATAATTATTTGGAAATTTGCATGTAGTTTTCTCCAAAATGCTTCCCATACTTGTTGGGAAACTTTTTATAGGGCTTCGAGAGATCTTCTGGGAGGTCTTGCTCCATCAAATAACATTAGCCTGGTAACAATCCACAGGTTCTCATCTTCTGTGGAACAAAATCAGGGCATCTTATCAAAAGTATCATATACATCATGTGGTGAAGGTGCACAACTTTAATCCCAGCACTTGGTACTCGAAAGTCAGAGGCAGGTGGATCCCCATGAGTTTTAGTCCGGTCTTGTCTACAGAGCTAGTTCCAGGACCGGCTGCAAAGCAACAGAGAAACCATGTCTTGAAAAACCGATAAATTAAAAGATTATCTTTAGATTCACATTTTGATGCATTTAAAATATATGTTTTCATATAGCATAGGAGCCCATGAATCAAATGTCCATCTGCCATCCCTGAATAATATTCAGTTATTTGATTTTAATTTAATTATTTTCTTTTGCTATTTTCCAACATTACTGCAAACTCTACCTGCCTCCTATTTCACCCCTACATTTAGACAACCTCTTCATCTGTTCCTCCACTGTATTCTCACAATATGGGGCAGGATTCTCATGGACACCAGCAAAGCTTGGCCTAAAACCTTGCCATAACACCAGGCATCTCTCCCTACATTAATGCAGAAAAAATGCAATCCTGCATGAGGATCAGGTTTCAAAGTATCAGCCAAAGCCATAAAGACAAATTCTTCTCTCACTGCCAAGTGTCCCACAAATAGATGAAGCATCACAACAGTCACAAATAAGCAGAGGAACTAGGTGAGTCTTATGAAGGCATCGTGGTTGTTGGTATATCCCGCAGTAATTTCTGAAAGTCATTCAAATCTTTCTCTTTTAATTTCCAATTTCTGAGTTTTAATTTCTTTTGAATAAGCATATATCCCAAAATATTCAAAAGATGTCTGTCTTTGTCCTTTCACTGGGGCAATTACTAAATCTAAAAGGACAGGATTCTGCTGAAGGTGACTATATTAGAAACAAACTTACTTCATTTATATGGACAAGCTAGTCATCATCATTAAAGCATAATATAAACTTGTGGAAATTGAAATGAAAAGTTTTGTGTAGCCTGAGCCACAGATTTCTGCCACAAAATAAAACCGTGAGGCAATATGTTCTAATGCTATTGTCTAGCCTGATATTTGAAATTAACTGATGAAACACTAACTTCATATCTTTGACAATTTCAGTGAGCCCAGGGGATGGTATAAAAAATCTTTTAAATATAGTAAAACATTATGGGTATATTTTGTTATGGAAGAAACAGAAGGCAATGCAAGATGTAAAGCTCCCATTAACTCTCATTAATGATTCTTAAATCATATATCAATCTCTAGTTTCCAGATTTCTTTCTCAGGAGGAACCTCTTTAACTGCTTTTTATATCTGAGGATATTCAAATAAAATCAGAAATATTACTCTTAT